CATTTTTCCCGGAGCTGCACATCCAAACTCGAAGAATAAAACTGCATTCATCATACTTCAAACTGAAAGGCCTGAAGTTGAAGCAACAGTGAGAAGCTGGAGATCTTGTGTAGGTATCATCTAAGAACACCATGTGCTAAACTCCATGAAGAAATGTAGAAACAACACATCTTCTGAAGAAAATGCATCTCCAGCTTTTCAATCCTCTTCTACATCCTGGTCTTCCAGAAGAAATTAATTCTGGCTTTCACAAAACCTCATGATGTCTGAAACAACAAGCCTAAAAACAACTACTGCTACAGACAGAAGCCAACCACAAAATCTAAAGGTGACTGAAGACAGACATCTACAGGTGGTTTGATTTCCAACAGCATGGAACACGTGCAGCTTCCACTGATCTGGAGAGGAATTCAGCACCTAAAGAGGAGACGAAGCCATTTCTGTGCAACAGAACCCTGACCCGTCAAACTATCTGCAGGCTGTACCTGCAGTGATGTAGGGACAAAAACTGCATCCTGATAAAACTGCACAAGATGCTATTTTGTTAACAGAAGTAGCCTTAAATTTCCTGAGCACTGGATGACACACATTTGGATTGGACCCTGCATTTATCTTCTTCAGTATTGCATCAAGAAATTCTGACAGAGCTCCATTTGTTTGCAAGACAAGGACAGGGATGCAGAGCAACCATCCCAGGACAGCAGGTGCCCCAGTCGTTTCCACAAACATGGCACATTCCCAACCTTCCTCCTTTAGGACACTACACACTGATTCATGGTTGCTTTCCCTTACTGCAAGACAACCTCCTTTGGAAACAGAAAAAGCGTTCTCTTCGTACCACCAAGACTGTGGCGTCAGTGCTCTTTGTAAAATATTGATTCGTCTGCCATCTGTAGTTCCAGAAGTTAAAAGGTATGTCTGTATGAGTAGGTAAGAGCAGACCCAAGAGCCTCTGCCTGCACACTGAACTGGCCAGACCTCAACCAGCCCCAAGCCAAAGCCCTTAGCACAGTGCTATACCCGAGCAGCCTCCCAGCAGGGTCTAGTGTGGGGCTGAACTAACTCGCAGGACACCTACACCAACAGCTGCTTCATGTCTGGCCATCTCGGCATGAGCAAAAGACCTCAGGTCTGTTTACACCCACTTGCCTGTCCACGTGGTGCAAAGGCTTTTTTGTCCCATGTGCCACACTTAGACAAAATCCACAACATCTTTGTCTCCCTGACAATTATGGGATATTTCTATCACTAGGTCCGACAAAAAAACAAAAATAAAATTACTGGCTTCAAAACTCATAAACTTTCTCTACCTACAAAGCTTTTTCAGGTCCCTTCCAATGAAGCAAAGCAGGGAGATTGGGAAGTATAACATGCAGAAAAGGAAATTAGTAAATCATCAATACATACATCCTGTTAAAGCCTGAACCACTGCCAGGAATCTCAAGTAAATTGACAGCCTTAAGTGCAGTGACTGGAGGCCATCTTAGTTGCTTCTAGTGACATAAGGTATTACCATGAGGAACATTCGACAGTATGAAAAACAGCCAGCTGCAGGTAAAAAGGCAAAGAAGCTTTTCTTTAACCTGTTCCTGAGCTCCAGCTCTGAGGACGTACTGCAAAGGATAGGAAAAGTACTTTATAATCAAGGGACAAAAGTCAAAAAAGCCCTCGTTTGAATTATCCCTGGATTACAGGAACTGCAGTTAAGTAATAAACCAATCCTGGGGAGCAACAGAGGACGATGCCTGCCCTCATTTTTAACTTTTCAAATCAATACAAAACTTTGTAAGAGACCTGTTCTATTACATTGTGTAAGTACAAGGTGACTTCAAAAAGTAATGAATTAAAATGCCTGGAAATTTTTCCTGATTTACGAGATATATACTGCATTCCCTTAGAGATGGGAGAGTTGGACAGTTTTCCTGGAGCTACCATGCAATGCGCATACACGCTACTATACAGCAGCCGAGTCTTTATTAAATATAGTATTACTATATATATATATATTATAAAGTCTGAGCTTTTCTAAAAAGTTCCCCCTATTTCCCCAGTTCTCTGTGCCTACACATTACTTTCTAAGACACGTATCTAGGAAAGGTAAAACACTGCTGCCATAGCTATTCTGTCAGACTCGTTTCTTATTTCCTGGTGTAAACAAAATGCTGCAGACTTGCAAACTGCAGGCGAGCACCCTAGCGAACGGTAATAAAAAGTTATCTGGAGACTGGAAAGGCTTCTTACGTTACTCCTCTTTTTACAGGTCCGTGGCTTTTTTAGTGAAATGTAACATTTGGGATTTAGTCCACTCGGCTATTTAATGTCCCTCCTCATTTGGCCTTGGTGTAGCATCTCTTCATCACAACACTGGGTCTCCAGTACGGAAAATGCCCTTCCACGTCTTCATCTGAGGCTGCGAGGACGCTGCTCGGGGGCAAGCAGCCGCTGGCAGACAGGCTGCGCCACACACCGTAAGGGGCCAGGGGGCGGGTATTACCAGATATTTTGATGCAAAGCAACGCGCGGACTCCCGTGCGAGTCGAAGCCTCGCACCGACACCCGGTAGCGGCAGATGTCGGTGCAAAGACCTCACGGAAAGCGCTCCGGGTAGCCGCGGGGCTCTCCGGCTCCCTCCAGCCGCGGGAGGAAAGGGGGGTGCACCCGGGGCTCCGGCAGCCCGCCCCAGGAGCGGCCCCCCACCGCTCGCCCGGCCCCGCTCCCCGCTCCCCGCTCCCCGC